TACCCGTCACAACCACGGTAGGCATGGAACCTACCGTCGACAGTTGATAAGGCAGACATTTGAAAGATCGTCGCCGTACGGAGACCGTGCGATCAGCTCGAAGTTATTCAGAGTCACCAGGTCTTTGCGCGGGCCGCGATCGGGACGCGCACGAAGCGCGCCGCGACGGGCCGGTTTTGATCTAATAAAAGCGTTCCTCCCGCGCGACGCCCGAGGGTGCCGCGACGGTCGGAACTCTGTCGGCATGTATTAGCTCTAGAATTACCACAGTTATCCAAGTAACTTGGGTACGATCTAAGGAACCACAACTGATTTAATGAGCCTTTCGCGGTTTCACCTTAATGCGGCTTGCACTGAGACATGCATGGCTAATCTTGAGACAAGCATATGACTACTGGCAGGATCAACCAGGGATCTCGGTTTTACAACAACTGCGGCCCGTGACGGGGCGGCGATCCGCGAAGACGCGGACCGCCCACCCGCCTCGGGACGCGTGCGTCCGAGCGCCGGTCCGCCCGTGGGCGAGCCGACGCCGAGGAAGGTCGAACGACCGTGACGTGTCACGGCGAACGACCGACCGCGGTTCGTGGTGATTACGAGCGCGGACGGGCGCCCTTGACCCGCGCTTCGGTCGACGCGAGCGCCGAGCACCGGACACCCGCAGAACGCGGGGACGGCTGTGTTTCGGCGGTCGCGTGAACGAGCGGCGGGGAGCGCGCCCGACGCGACGTGACCCGTGCGTTGACGAGAGTCGGGTTTAGCGCGTACGCCGTCCGTTTGGGAAGGACGGAGAATTACCGCGCTAGCGCCTCTCGCCAGGTTTGTAACGGCCCCCAGCCGAGATCGTGGGTGAAGCCGGGACGAGACGCGAAGTCCGTCGTCCCGGGGCTTCGACCCGGCGGCCGCCGGGCACGGCGACGATGGCCGGCCGCGGCGGGAATGTTCTGGCGTCGAGAGCTCGTAACTTGCGAAACGGTAGCGGGAGTCGTCATCAATTTTTCGAGAGAAAATGATTTGCGCGTCGGAGGCCCACCGGTAGGAGGACCTGCGACGCCGGGTGAGTTTTGCCACTCGGCGTGCGAGATGGGTCGGTCGCCGAAACTTGGACGGATACCGTCGACGGGCACTCGGGCAGCTGACCATTCCGAAGACTGGCAGAGACCGGTGCCCGGCGATGGACGCGTCGGCTTCGGCGTCGCCCGTGGCGTTGCTGTCGTATGCGAGCGGACGTCGGACGCCGGCTTCAACGCCGACGACCAAGCCGCTCACAAATTTACAAAATCTCGAGTTTCACAACATGCGACGGGGGTATGGGCGCGTAGTGGTACACCCGACCGAAAGGATATGGCCGTCGCCGTCGTGCGATCAGCTCGAAGTTATTCAGAGTCACCAGGTCTTTGCGCGGGCCGCGATCGGGACGCGCACGAAGCGCGCCGCGACGGGCCGGTTTTGATCTAATAAAAGCGTTCCTCCCGCACGCGACGCCCGAGGGTGCCGCGACGGTCGGAACTCTGTCGGCATGTATTAGCTCTAGAATTACCACAGTTATCCAAGTAACTTGGGTACGATCTAAGGAACCACAACTGATTTAATGAGCCTTTCGCGGTTTCACCTTAATGCGGCTTGCACTGAGACATGCATGGCTTAATCTTTGAGACAAGCATATGACTACTGGCAGGATCAACCAGGGATCTCGGTTTTACAACAACTGCGGCCCGTGACGGGGCGGCGATCCGCGAAGACGCGGACCGCCCACCCGCCTCGGGACGCGTGCGTCCGAGCGCCGGTCCGCCCGTGGGCGAGCCGACGCCGAGGAAGGTCGAACGACCGTGACGTGTCACGGCGAACGACCGACCGCGGTTCGTGTGGATTACGAGCGCGGACGGGCGCCCTTGACCCGCGCTTCGGTCGACGCGAGCGCCGAGCACCGGACACCCGCAGAACGCGGGGACGGCTGTGTTCGGCGGTCGCGTGAACGAGCGGCGGGAGCGCGCACGACGCGACGTGACCAGTTGCAGGTGACGAGAGTCGGGTTTAGCGCGTACGCCGTCCGTTTGGGAAGGACGGAGAATTATCGCGCTAGCGCCTCTCGCCAGGTTTGTAACGGCCCCCAAGCCGAGATGTGGGTGAAGCCCCCCCCCCCCGCCCCCCGGACGAGCGCGAAGTCCGTCGTCCCGGGGCTTCGACCCGGCGGCCGCCGGGCACGGCGACGATGGCCGGCCGCGGCGGGAATGTTCTGGCGTCGAGAGCTCGTAACTTGCGAAACGGTAGCGGGAGTCGTCATCAATTTTTCGAGAGAAAATGATTTGCGCGTCGGAGGCCCACCGGTAGGAGGACCTGCGACGCCGGTTGAGTTTTGCCACTCGGCGTGCGAGATGGGTCGGTCGCCGAAACTTGGACGGATACCGTCGACGGGCACTCGGGTTGCTGACCATTCCGAAGACTGGCAGAGACCGGTGCCCGGCGATGGACGCGTCGGCTTCGGCGTCGCCCGTGGCGTTGCTGTCGTATGCGAGCGGACGTCGGTCGCCGGCTTCAACGCCGACGACCAAGCCGCTCACAAATTTACAAAATCTCGAGTTTCACAACATGCGACGGGGGTATGGGCGCGTAGTGGTACACCCGACCCAAAGGATATGGCCGTCGCCGCGCGTAGCGGTACGGCGAAAATCAAAAAACGTCCATCACCGTGCGTAGCGGTTCGGCGAGAATCGAAAATCCGTGCGTAGCGGTACGGCCTCGAATATCGAATAATCCGGTTAAAAGGTTACGGACGCCGGTACCCGATAGAACTCGGAACGTACGACGTGATCGCATCCGGGGGTCGTCGTGATAAGTCTAACCGTTACCGAGTAATTGCAAACGAAAAAAAAGCAAACGAAAAAGTTGAATACGAAATCGTGTCGGCGGACGTCGCCGGGCCTGCCGGCATGTACACCGCCCCGGTACCGCCGATCAACGGTGAACGCCGAGTGAAAAAAAAAATCGGATTTTCGCACACGACGATCCAGCCAACCGCCGGTCGCGGGACGTACGGTAACTATTACGGCCCGACCGGGAAGCCCGTGGACCGACACCCCGCGACCGTAGAATCGCCTATCACCGTGCGTAGCGGTACGGCCTCGAATATCGAATAATCCGGTTAAAAGGTTACGGACGCCGGTACCTGATAGAACTCGGAACGTACGACGTGATCGCATCCGGGGCTCGTCGTGATAGGTCTAACCGTTACCGAGTAATTGCAAACGAAAAAAAAGCAAACGAAAAAGTTGAATACGAAATCGTGTCGGCGGACGTCGCCGGGCCTGCCGGCATGTACACCGCCCCGGTACCGCCGATCAACGGTGAACGCCGAGTGAAAAAAAAAATCGGATTTTCAGCTCGGCTGTGGTTTCGCTAGATACCCGACCCGGCCCGGGTGCCTACGACTCGCACGGCTGGGGCGCCCGTCCGACGCCGACTAGGAAGAGATTATCCCCGGTCGATGCACGGCACAGTTTCACGGGCACGGCGCCGCGGTCCGACCGGCACGCGGCCCCTCCGTCGTCGCCGCGGCCGCGTGTGCACGAAACCGTACGCTCGGCTGTGGTTTCGCTAGATACCCGACCCGGCCCGGGTGCCTACGACTCGCACGGCTGGGGCGCCCGTCCGACGCCGACTAGGAAGAGATTATCCCCGGTCGATGCACGGCACAGTTTCACGGGCACGGCGCCGCGGTCCGACCGGCACGCGGCCCCTCCGTCGTCGCCGCGGCCGCGTGTGCACGAAACCGTACGCTCGGCTGTGGTTTCGCTAGATACCCGACCCGGCCCGGGTGCCTACGACTCGCACGGCTGGGGCGCCCGTCCGACGCCGACTAGGAAGAGATTATCCCCGGTCGATGCACGGCACAGTTTCACGGGCACGGCGCCGCGGTCCGACCGGCACGCGGCCCCTCCGTCGTCGCCGCGGCCGCGTGTGCACGAAACCGTACGCTCGGCCGTGGTTTCGCTGGATACCCGACCCGGACCGAGTGGCTACGACTCGCACGGCTGGGGCGCCCGTCCGACGCCGACTAGGAAGAGATTATCCCCGGTCGATGCACGGCACAGTTTCACGGGCACGGCGCCGCGGTCCGACCGGCACGCGGCCCCTCCGTCGTCGCCGCGGCCGCGTGTGCACGAAACCGTACGCTCGGCCGTGGTTTCGCTGGATACCCGACCCGGACCGAGTGGCTACGACTCGCACGGCTGGGGCGCCCGTCCGACGCCGACTAGGAAGAGATTATCCCCGGTCGATGCACGGCACAGTTTCACGGGCACGGCGCCGCGGTCCGACCGGCACGCGGCCCCTCCGTCGTCGCCGCGGCCGCGTGTGCACGAAACCGTACGCTCGGCTGTGGTTTCGCTAGATACCCGACCCGGCCCGGGTGCCTACGACTCGCACGGCTGGGGCGCCCGTCCGACGCCGACTAGGAAGAGATATCCCCGGTCGATGCACGGCACAGTTTCACGGGCACGGCGCCGCGGTCCGACCGGCACGCGGCCCCTCCGTCGTCGCCGCGGCCGCGTGTGCACGAAACCGTACGCTCGGCTGTGGTTTCGCTAGATACCCGACCCGGCCCGGTGCTACGACTCGCACGGCTGGGGCGCCCGTCCGACGCCGACTAGGAAGAGATTATCCCCGGTCGATGCACGGCACAGTTCACGGGCACGGCGCCGCGGTTCCGACCGGCACGCGGCCCCTCCGTCGTCGCCGCGGCCGCGTGTGCACGAAACCGTACGCTCGGCCGTGGTTTCGCTGGATACCCGACCCGGACCGAGTGGCTACGACTCGCACGGTGGGGCGCCCGTCCGACGCCGACTAGGAAGAGATTATCCCCGGTCGATGCACGGCACAGTTTCACGGGCACGGCGCCGCGGTCCGACCGGCACGCGGCCCTCCGTCGTCGCCGCGGCACGACTCGCACGGCTGGGCGACCGTCCGACGCCTACTGGAAAAAGGAGATATATCCCCGGTCGATGCACTGCACAGTTTCACGGGCACGGCGCCGCGGTCCGACCGGCACGCGGCCCCTCCGTCGTCGCCGCGGCCGCGTGTGCACGAAAACCGTTAGCTCGCCGTGGTTTCGCTGGATACCCTACCCTTACGCTAGTGGCTACGACTCCGCACGTCTGGGGCGCCCGTCGACGCCGACTAGGAAGAGATTATCCCCGGTCGATGCACGGCACAGTTTCACGGGCACGGCGCCGCGGTCCGACCGGCACGCGGCCCCTCCGTCGTGGCCGCGGCCGCGTGTGCACGAAACCGTACGCTCGGCTGTGGTTTCGCTAGATACCCGACCCGGCCCGGGTGCCTACGACTCGCACGGCTGGGGCGCCCGTCCGACGCCGACTAGGAAGAGATTATCCCCGGTCGATGCACGGCACAGTTTCACGGGCACGGCGCCGCGGTCCGACCGGCACGCGGCCCCTCCGTCGTCGCCGCGGCCGCGTGTGCACGAAACCGTACGCTCGGCCGTGGTTTCGCTGGATACCCGACCCGGACCGAGTGGCTACGACTCGCACGGCTGGGGCGCCCGTCCGACGCCGACTAGGAAGAGATTATCCCCGGTCGATGCACGGCACAGTTTCACGGGCACGGCGCCGCGGTCCGACCGGCACGCGGCCCCTCCGTCGTCGCCGCGGCCGCGTGTGCACGAAACCGTACGCTCGGCTGTGGTTTCGCTAGATACCCGACCCGGCCCGGGTGCCTACGACTCGCACGGCTGGGGCGCCCGTCCGACGCCGACTAGGAAGAGATTATCCCCGGTCGATGCACGGCACAGTTTCACGGGCACGGCGCCGCGGTCCGACCGGCACGCGGCCCCTCCGTCGTCGCCGCGGCCGCGTGTGCACGAAACCGTACGCTCGGCTGTGGTTTCGCTAGACACCCGACCCGGCCCGGGTGCCTACGACTCGCACGGCTGGGGCGCCCGTCCGACGCCGACTAGGAAGAGATTATCCCCGGTCGATGCACGGCACAGTTTCACGGGCACGGCGCCGCGGTCCGACCGGCACGCGGCCCCTCCGTCGTCGCCGCGGCCGCGTGTGCACGAAACCGTACGCTCGGCTGTGGTTTCGCTAGATACCCGACCCGGCCCGGGTGCCTACGACTCGCACGGCTGGGGCGCCCGTCCGACGCCGACTAGGAAGAGATTATCCCCGGTCGATGCACGGCACAGTTTCACGGGCACGGCGCCGCGGTCCGACCGGCACGCGGCCCCTCCGTCGTCGCCGCGGCCGCGTGTGCACGAAACCGTACGCTCGGCTGTGGTTTCGCTAGATACCCGACCCGGCCCGGGTGCCTACGACTCGCACGGCTGGGGCGCCCGTCCGACGCCGACTAGGAAGAGATTATCCCCGGTCGATGCACGGCACAGTTTCACGGGCACGGCGCCGCGGTCCGACCGGCACGCGGCCCCTCCGTCGTCGCCGCGGCCGCGTGTGCACGAAACCGACTTAACCTAA